CGTGTAAGTAATGGAGAGTTGAAAATGACCTAATAATTGTTTAGAGCTGATCAAAGGTGACTGGATTGTTGACATTCGACATATCTGCCGAGAAGATAATCGCTGTACTGATCGACTTGCAGACTTGGCGCACACTTCGGCTCAGGGAGTTAGATTTTATGAAGATCCTCCGCTCCAAATTCAGCATCTTTTGAATGAGGATCGTGAGGGAATAGGTGTTTTGCGTTTTTAATCTTTTTCTTTTCCAATTCTTTTGTAGCAGGAACAAAAAAAGAAAATGACCTAATATAATAATATAATGGCTCTAATAAAAGAATTAATGAGTTAATGAAAATTGATTAATTTTACCAATTTACCCTTAAACCAATAAATTTAAAATTTTGTTATGAGAAATTCCAATGTGTTTTGTTGGAGTGATATTTTTGGATTTATTCCTTTTTGCTCAAGAGGTCATGATTTCTTAAAATTTTCAAATTATTTTGCTTATTCTTATATATATCAAGGAAAAGAAAAAGAACTGATTTTGACGCAAGCTCCATCCTGGGCTTTTTATATCGAGTGCTGAAACAAAAAGTGATTGTTCATGGGTTATGCTCAAAAGATGGAATAATACTTAGAATATTATTGTGAAAAAAAAAGAAAAAGAAATAATGAACGATTAAATTATTTTGGTGGAATATTTAAGAGAAATTTGGATGTGATTATGCAGTTATAGAGTTCCTTCATTGTTTTCATTAATCCGGCTAGGGTGCCACCTAATTAACTAGAGGCCAGCCATGGATGAGAAGGGAGAGGATAGTTGAGCCTTTTTCTGTGGCTAGAAAACGATGAAAAGAGGGGAGGTTTTAAAATTAAATTTACAGTTGGGCTTAAGGGTAAATCGGTCTAATCGATTGATCTTCATTACACTTAAGTAAGAAATATATCAGCTCATTAATTTTTGGGTGAATTATCAAGGGTGTAATGATAATATAAAAAAGATTCATTGGTGTAATGGATAAAGATTATTATACCTTAAAAAGTTTAATGACTAGAATATTTCCCATTAAGTGTAATGGAAATAAAACGAGTTTACCTCTTTACCCTTGAAAGGCTTAAGTGCATGCTTGATTAAATATTTATGAAAATAATAAAATTATTTTTCCTTATTTGTTCTTTTTTTTCCCTCACGACTCCACTTTTCTTCTCCACCGTCGCCAAAATCATAAGCAATGAAAAAATACAATTGAAGTTTAATCTGATCATTAAATTTGTTCCTTTTCTACCTAAAAATGGGAAACTAGATCCTACATAAATTAAACAAAGAAAAAAAAAACATTAAATCAAAACAATTCTGGAGGTTTCGTTGGTAGTCAGTATAGGGGAGTCCATTCCAGGAGATCCAATTGGAGAAGTCTGAGAGGAAAATGGGGAATTTGATTCTTTGATTGTTGAATCACATCCATCATCTAGTGTTGATCACCATTTGGGCCCAAGGCCCACTAGCCAAATAAGACCCAAGTCTCTAAGGTATATAAAGGGCAATGTATGCCTCATTTACCTCATTATGTTTTATGATGTCCATTATGTCATATGACATTTACTATGCATTATGAGGCTTCACTATGTGACATCACATTCCACCACACTCACAAACACTCAAAGTGGACCTCACTGACTTGACCGTCGGAGGAGGTCCCCCCAAAACACCACAGGGGGACCTCTTTCTCACGGTTTACTCTCTTGCAGGCCTCTCTCGGAGCTCGATGTTGGGTCTTGATATTATTTGGCCTCAACAATTGGCGCCGTCCGTGGGGAACAAGCGAAACTCTGCCCTCTGTCGATGCTTTAGCAAACGAAGGTGTCACTATATATAGTGGGGATTGATTTCCCTGCGAACTGTAAGGCATCCGGCCTCGCCGAGCCACCCGTACCCTTCGGATCCCTTATACGTACTTGCGGCTAATAACCAAGAAGAAAAACTACAATTGATCATTAAATTTAATTGACAATTACATAATTAAAATTTTAAATTCCAAGGATAAAAGAGTAAAATTATCCCATTTTCATTACACTTGATAGGAAATATTTTAGTCATTACAGTTTTTAAGGTATTATGTTAATCTATTACACCAATGAGTCTTTTTCATATTGTCATTGCACCCCTTAATAATTCCCTCTTAATTATTTAAAGGATGATCTTAATTCATTACATCATAGGCTCATTTTCATCTCCCCATTACACCACATGATAATTCATCCTTTAGGGGGCGTTTGGTTGAGGGTGATCTTTGATCACTTGTGGTGATTTTGGCAGGTGATCTCAGATCACCCCGTTTGATTACACTTTTTGGTTTAGTGTGGTAATCCGGATTACCCCCTGATCACCCCTCTAAGGGTGATCTTGATTACCACCATAAACCCATGTAATCTTTGATCACCGGTGATCTTGCATCACTGGTGATCTTAGATTACTAGTAATAGTTTTAGAATTGGAATCGAACCCTTTTGCTAAGGATTTGGTTCGTCCCAAATACTTTTAGAACTAGGGCTGAGCAGTATACGGTTCAAACGCCCGAAACCGCCAGCTTTTGTTCGTCGGTTTGGCGGTTTGACGGTTTAGCGGTTGGCGGTTCAAACTGCCAAAGGGTTGAAGGCTAAACGGTCGGTGCACGGGTTTGAGATTTTCAAAACCGTAACCGACCGAAACCGAACCGTTTAGCAATATATATAATTAAATATATATTATATATATAATAATATCTAATATATATAATTATATATATAATTATTAAACGGTTCAAACCGTCTAAACCGTTTAATCGACCGTATAACCGCATAAACCGTATAGTCGGTTTAGACAGTTAAATGATCGGTTAACGGTTCCAAAAATGAATTGTCAGTTTTTAGTCGGTTTTGAGAACCGCAAAACCGAAACCGAACCGAACCGACCGTTGCACACCCCTATTTAGAACGGTCAATTCTACTTCCGTTTCAAGTTATTTTAAAATTTTTAATATATATATATATATGTATAGTATAATAATTATATAAAAAAATTGTTTTATTTTTAATTGTTTTTAATATAATATATTCATAAATATGTTATTTAACCAATTTTATTATCATTATTATTTTTTCAACTTATCATATATATACTATATATTATTTTTAACTACAATGGAAATTACTAAAAGGTCAAATTGAGAATTAATGTGGTGCCACCTTTTGGCCATTTTTAGTCTTTTCACACTTTTTGGATGTCTAAAAAGCCCCTCTATGAATTTCTCTCATCCCTTTTCCTTCTACCCTTTTTTGTAATTACACATTTCCTTCCTTAATTGTTTTTAATCAATGTTTAAGGTTTTTAGTTAATTGCTTCTAAACCCTAAACCCTTAATTACTTTTAATTAATGTTTCTCTCGCTGTTTTTTTTTCCTCTCACCAACTTAGTTGCTGCTTCCTTTCAACTCCTCGGTGCTGATCAATCTTCAAGTTTGCCAAAAATCAAACCTTTCCATCACTCCCCTCTGTTTTCACTTTCATATCTCTTTCCTCTTTTTCTCCATCTCTATCCCTTCAACATGGACCGTTCAATATTTTTCCCCTTCTGAATTAAAACCACCTTTTGTTGTGTACTTTGGCTACCCATCCCTTGAGGTTGGCTACACATCCATACAGGATGGGATGCCCTTTCGGACAAACCACCCTTTGTTCAATGTGAGTATTATTATCCAATTAACAGCATATTTTATTATCTCTTTGCATTTCCTATTACTTACAAATAAAAACATGTTCTTGACCTTCTTAATTTTGCATGTCTAAAAAGTTATTCCCCCCCATTCAAAATAAGTGCAACACTAGGAATATTACACAAACCAAGACAATGATTAATTGGTTTTAAATTTAGTAAAAAATCACTTAAAATGGCATTCTTACCCTTCAAAAAATTTTATAAACAATTAGATAAAATTCTTCTCTCCCTTCCCAACTTTCCAAGATAATTAAAGATTCAACTACCTAACCAGTACAAGTAGAGATATATATGGAAACAAATTACAAATTACATTGGTTTTATAAATGTTGCACTTAATATGAATGACTGCAAATCTTGAAATGTTGCACTTATTTTGAATGTGAGGAGTAGCTTATAAAGATTTATGCATAGACATAATTAGAACTAATCCATTTAAATTGCATTTTTACTGTAACCTTATATAATTCAATCAATTAATCAATCAAGCACCACTCTAGAACCAAAAATGTTCTTGACCCTTATATAATTGATTATATTAATATCCTTATTTAATCAGTTAATCAAGCAATACTCTAAAATAAAAAAACGCCCGTAGCGCCAGCACGGGCTATTATAACTTGTATATATATATTTAAAACAATGTACACTACGAGAATGATAACTCATTAAATGTTGAGGCCTCCAAATCTCGACAAGTGTCAGGTCCAATTAATCGACATGTGTCTCTAAATAATTTTAATATTCATTATTGATTAAAAAAAGTCTTTGGTATATTTTAAGAAAGAACAATAATTTCTCTAACAAATTTTTAAGATTTTAATTGAAAAGTAAATAATTCTAACTATTGACTATACATCTTATATGTAAGCCTTTACTACATTTAGAGAAACAACCATGTAAATTTATAAGACATTCCTTTATTAAAATAAAATAAACCTTTAATAATTTCTTAAATCACTCTAACTATTTCACCAAAAAAAATCACTCTAACTATTATTATGGTAATAATAATCACTACTTTAATATTTATGTCATGAATCAAGGAACACAATTTGTATATAGGGTATTCCGAAATAATCAATATATCTTATATATATATATATATATTTAAAACAATGTTCTCTACAAGTATGGTAACTCTTTAAATGTTGAGAGTTCCAAATTTCGACAAGTGTTATACCCCATTGATTGACACGTGTCGATAATTAAAAATTATTTATTTAATATTTTATATGTTTTTTTTTTAGAAATAAATTGAATTTCATTAATTTGTGAAATCAGGGATACAAACGCTAGGAGGTAAACTCCCGCACCGCACAAAATCAAACTCCAATTGAGCCATCCTATGTGCTAGTTCATTAGCTTCTCTACGAGCATGTACAAAATTACAATGGTCAAATAAAGAAACTAATTCCCTAATTTCATAGATAAGACATGCCCCTTCCCACCAAACTGGTGAATTGCTATTGATAATTGACACTGCATTCAAACAATCGCTCTCAAAAATACAATTATCAATATCATACTCCAATGCCAATTCAAAACCAAAAAGAATAGCATGGATCTCAGCATACAAAGGACTTGAAATAAAAGATAATTTACGGCAGGCACAAACAAGGACATTGCCCTCACTATCTCTAAAACCAACCCCTAAACCTGCTTGACATGTGTCTTGATTAAAGGATGCATCCGTATTGATCTTCACCATCCCTGGCCCTGGTGCTTGCCAAGAATCATTCCTTGCTGGTACCCTGCTAATGGCCTTAGGACGAGCCTGCTCCAATTGCTTCAATAAGATCCCGACCTTATAAACCAAAGCTAGTGGGAGTAGCCGAACAATAAGAGTGAAGACACTCGTTTCTATTTCGCCATATAGACCAAAGTATAATCAATAGAATGTCTAATTGGCCCAAACTAGCAGCTTTAACAACCTAAACGAATCCAAAAATCATCCAAATTCTTCCACTGCTTGACATATAAGAATAACCATGGTGCTGCTAACTCCCATACCTGACGACTATAGCAACACTCGAAAAAAACATGACCAAGAGACTCCACACTCAAGCCACATACAACACAAAGGTCATCAATATCCATTCCCCGCTGCTGCAAATTGGTCTTAATAGGAAGCAAATTCCAAATTAATCTCCAAATAAAGTAATGAATCTTTGGAGGAATTGAGGAACCCCAAACTCGACGCCATAATTTGCGAGATTCATCATCAATATTCACATCATGCCCTAAGATTTGGCGCGCCACATAATAGGCTGACTTAACAGAAAAATTCCCTGAAGAACTTGCATCCCATATCAAAGTATCCCTCCCTGGTAGTCTCGGAATTGGCAAGCACAAAATTCTGCTCACATCTTCATCTACTACAATATCCATGAGCTCATCAATTCGCCAACGTCTCTCCTCAAAATCCATTATGTCCGCAACCTTCAAACCAGGATTCACCATACTTGCCCTTGGTCAAGGATTCGTACAAGGACCATTGGAAAGCCAATTTCCATTCCAAAAATCTATATCACCCTTCCCTATTCTCCATCTAGATCCAGCTTTCAAAACTTTACGTCCATCAAGTAAGCTTCTCCATATAAATGAAGGATTACGGCCTAAAGAAGCTTCCATGAAATTACCACTAGGGAAATACCTCGCCTTTAAAAAGCCGAAAGCATAGAGAATCTTGATTATGTATTAATCTCCAACATTGCTTTGCTAATAAAGCCAAATTGAAGGCTTCAAAATCCCGGAATCCTAATCCTCCATCCAATTTTAATACACACATTGTCTCCCAAGCCATCCAATGAATCTTCCGGTTATCATTAGTGCTTCCCCACCAAAATTTTGCTATAATCATATTGAGTTCATGGATAAAACTCTTTGGAAATCGAAAAACACTCATTAGATAGACAGGTATCGATTGAGCAATCGAGTGGATCATAATAGCCTTACCAACAATGGAAAAGAGCTTATTGCGCCACGAAGCCACTCGTTGAAGCAGTCTTTCCTTGATAAAATTAAGCTCCTGCTTCTTATTTTTACCAATCATAATTGGTAATCCCAAATATTTATCCCTTTCTAACACACGAGACACCCCTAGACGACGCATTATACTATCCTGAAGGCCAGATGAAATATTTGAACTAAACAATATTGCTGACTTGTCAATATTAACTTGCTGCCCCGTTGCTAGTTCAAAATCATGAAGGATATTCAAAACTACCTCACACTCATCCAATGCAGCTCGTAAGAAAATGAGACTATCATCAGCGAAGAAAAGATGTGAAATGCTAGGTGCTGCTCGATTAATTGCTACTCCATGGATCAAATTAGTTGCCTCTGCATTTGAAATCAGACAAGAAAAAGCCTCCATACAAAACAGAAATAAATATGGAGACAAAGGGTCTCCCTGTCTAATTCCTCTTGTAGGGCTAAGCCTAGCAGTTTGCTGTCCATTTATCAGAATTGAATATGAAACAGACCTGATACCCTCCATTACCAGCTCAATCCAATGAGAAGAAAAACCCAACCTATACATACACTTTTCTAGAAAAATCCATTCAACCTTGTCATAAGCCTTACTTAAATCCAATTTTAGAGCCAAATGTGCTCTCTTACCAGATCTTTTATTACACATAAAATGGATTGTTTCAAAAGCAATTAATGCATTATCAAAAATCATTCTATCAGGCACAAAAGCACTTTGACTTTCGCCTATAATTTGAGGAAGAATTAACTTAAGCCTATTAGCAATAGTTTTTGAAATAATTTTGAACAGAACATTACACAAAGCTATAGGCCTAAAATCTTTCATAGTCCTGGGATTCTCTATCTTAGGAATAAGCACAATATTGGTGTGATTAATATGAGACAAACTTCCCCCATTATTCAAGAAATTAAGAGCAAACTCTATAACATCCTTACCAACAGTAGACCAACACTTTTGGTAAAATGTTGGAGGAAAACCGTCGGGTCCTGGCGCCTTCTCACCTTGCATCTGGAACACTGCTTCTTTAATATCGGTAGCCGTAAAGGGAGCATCAAGCAAAGCACGCATCTGGTCATCAATTCGTCCAGGAACTAAAGCCAAGACTTTGTCTAGAGCTTCATTTGAAGGATTCGAAGAAGAGAACAATTCCTTATAATAATTACAAGCAATATTTTCCACATCCGCCATTGTTGTCTTCCATTCTCCAGCACCATCCTCAATCCCAAGGATTAAATTCCGCTTCCTTCTATCCGATGCAATTGAGTGAAAATACCTCGTGTTTCTATCACCTTGGGAGAACCATAATGCCTTAGATCGCTGCCTCCACATCACCTCCTCTTGATGTAATAACACATTCAAATCGTTTTTACACTCCTCTATTCTTTCGGTATTGGTACCAGCCTCAAGCATTTCTCCAAGCTCTTTACGTTTCCACTCCAACTTATGCCTGACATTGCCAAATACCGATCTGTTCCAAGTTGATAAAGCCCGCTTACATGCCATTAAATTGTTAGAAATCCCCTTGTGTCCATCGTTTGTCCATGCCTCTCTTACCACCTGTTCAAATCCATCAGGGGTGCACCACATTGATTCAAACCGAAACGGTTTTGGTCCTCGCCATTGCACCGTCGGTTGCTCTTGTATTGATATAACCAAAGGAAGATGATCGGACACATTAGAAATAACATGCTTTTCAGTCGAATGGCTAAAACGTTCAAGCCAAGAATTTGTAATCAATGCTCGATCCAATCTTTCAAAAATAAATTCCCCATGTAATTTTTTATGCCACGTCATCAAAGGACCTATCACAGGCAGAGAAGTGAAGAAACAATCTTCTATTACTTGGCTAAAATTTTGCATTTGAGTAAACGGTCTCAAACCACCACCAACTTTCTCCTCACTTTTTGTAATTTCATTAAAATCGCCAGCACATAACCATGGCAGAGAACAATTTGCATTTAGAGTTCTTAACAAATGCCAAGATTCATTCCGTCTATGTGTTTCAGGACGGCCATAAAAACTTGTAAATCGCCAGGCATTATCCATATTGGAACCAATCTGTGCATCTATGTGAGAATTTGAATAAGAAAGAATAGAAATGTCAACATTATTAAACCACAAAAGTGCCAAACCTCCTGATCTACCCATACAATCAACAGTAAAACAACAATCATAACCCAACCTAACTCTAATCCATTCCATTGCTCTACTAGTCTTCTTAGTTTCAGACAAAAATAAAAAATAGGGCTTATTACAAGAAATTAAAAAAGCTAACTCACGAACTGTTCGGGTCTGCCCTACACCCCGACAGTTCCAAACTAAACAATTCTTTTTTGTCGGCAGAGATGGCTATTACCCCTCTCTGCCGCTGAAAAAACAAAATTATTAGGTTGATTCACCGTACAATCCCCAAAAGCAACACCTTGGCCTTCAATATTAGCACCTCTAACCTCATCACGATCCCGAGATCTTTTGGTAGCTCCAGCACCCGTCGAAGCCATGATACCTCCATTAAAGCCCCGCTTCTTCCCTTCCCTTGTTGCAGACTGAGTAGCTTGCTTGTCATCAGGCTCCTGAACCGAACCCCTTGCCAACTTCCGCCACTTCCTTGCAGATTTTGCCTCTTGATTCGACCCACTTCCAAGAACAAATAAAGGAGAAGCAGTTTTTTCTTCTGCCGCTGCCTGGAACTTGAACACTGGTTTTGTAGCTGAATAAATGTCAGGATATCATTTGTGGAGTTAGGCTTGCACCTTTTATAACCAGTTTCATTAGAAGCAAGAGGCCCAATTGGATTAAAATCCAAACCCAAAACCGATGTCTCCTTTTGTCCTTGACCCGCACCCAAAATGATTGGCCCAATACCCGAATTGAAATCAGCCTGTTTTGCAATATTGTGGAAATTATCTCCTGATTCTTCTACCCCTTTTAATCGTAACAAACTGGAGTCAACAACTTACTTCCCACGGCCTTCAATTTCGGGATTCAAACTATCATCCCTTAACCGTCGAGTTATCAATCCCGTATGAGACTCCACATTCTCCTCAACTTCCTTACCAGTCGGAACTAACACCCCAAATAAGCGGGAGTTAGCTTCTCCATACCGCTCACCGGAAACTACGGCGTTAGCCACCGCCCCTCCCTATAGCAGTTGGCTATCAACATGACCAAGAAACGCCGCTGGCCTTGAATCCACCGAACCTACCGCCCCTCCCCGTAGCAGTTGGCTATCAACATGACCAAGAAGCGCGGCTGGCCTTGAATCCACAGACCCCACCGCCCCTCCCCGTAGAAGTTGGCTGTCAACATGACCAAGTAACGCCCCTGGCCTTGAATCAACAGACCCCGCCGCCGTCAAATTCCGTCGACTGTTATTCCTGCCGCCTAAACCTGTCAATTTAGATCCACTAGCCCCCGAATGAAACTGCCTTGGCATTATATCAGGTGTTTCCGCCCTCAAGTAATCAGAAAATTTCTTTGTCATGAATCCTTGAGTCTTCAATTGATAAGTTCCCAAAGGACAAGCCTGTTCTAAATGGATCACTCTCCCACAAACTCAACAGAAAGCAGAAAACTTTTCAAATCGGAATTTGACTTCAATATCACCATGTGGTGTAGTCACAGTAGTACCTTCCATCAAAGGATTATTGACATTGAAACTCACCCTCAAACGGAGATAACGGCTGCAAGATTGATCCACCTCCAAGACATTGCCCATGGCTGCACCAACCGCTCTCCCTATCTTCTCTGTCATCAACAAAATTGGTAGCTTAAAGACCCGCATCCAAATAGGGCACGTATCAAAATTGACTTCTTCCGGCACCTGTAAGCCTGAGAATTCCCTAAGTAGCAGAAGACTCCGGTTAAAAGACCAAGGTTGATTGACTAGAACTCGATCCCGTTCATTTGCATCATCAAATTGAAAAATGTAAAGATTGTCACTAGCTTCCTTTACTACCAAATCACACTCTGGTTTCCAAGCTTGAAACATTGCTACCCGTAAACCCTCCACATTAGCCCTTCGCTTGGAAAATAGCTTCCCCAAGAGGTTGAAATGAACCGACTCTCCCTCAGAAACTTCCAACCAATCCTCATCCGCTATGACTACCCTGTTATCTGCTGCCTCCTGCTTCTCCGTTGAAGCTCCAACAATGCCTTCACCATCCTGAATTGATAGTCGAGATAAATTGGACAAAGCAGCCGCCATTATATAAACAATACCAAGGAAGAAAGGAACGAAGAAGGAAGAAATAAGGTAGATAATTTTCGGACTCAAAAAGCCTGAAAGGAAAATATCACGCCACAACCAAAGCTGCTGCAAAAGGGAAAAGAAAACTGGGCAAAAGCAATATCTAGACAGAAAACGAATAACATCCAAAGTTTGAAAATTGAAAAACAAAACAGAATTGGGATGAGATTCAGCAACGGATAAAAAATAAATCTTCAAGATATCGATAAGATTCCGAAGAGTAAAGCTTGTACAAAGACAAGGTATATTTCTCACTGGAGATACCTGCGGCAGAAGGAAAGCCATAGGCGGCGGAGAAAATAAAAAAATAAAAAATGGAACTTCCAATCTTTAAGAAAACAAAGTTTTAAACATTCATTTGTAGAACATAATATTGACTATTTAAATTAATTAATAATATTGACTTAAATTTCAATACTAAATTTAACGTGATTGGAATGATTTTTAGAATTACTATTTACCGAAATTATGGATGAATATATTGCGTAGTATTAACATTGATTTCAAATTGAATTTCTATGCAATTTCTATAATTCCAATGGCAATAGTTTCTATTTACAATGAAAAATAAATGTTAATTGGTTCCAATCTCCATAATTGCTGACCTTTTCTACCACTATCTTAATGACGTAAATTAGGTTTTCCAATTCATTTAATTACAATGTTATTGAGGCAAATATACTCCTTAATATAAATAGGAGTATATGCTTAAATTACTCCAATTATTATTTTTGGCAATAACATTAATCACTATTTGTGGCATGAGGTAAAAAAAGACAATTTACTTATGGAATTTTCGTTTTCTCTTCCATAAATCACTTTCAATTTTCAATCAATTAATTAATTCCATAAATCAATAATTACCAGGTATTATTTACATAATTTTCAAAGCATATCATCCCCTATATAAACATCCAAATCTACCAATCTTTGAACATGAGTACATGACCAATTTTTCTCTCTCTTTTTCAATAATCTTTTTCAAATTTGGCAATTAGTATCAATGTAATTACTAATTACACCATTAAATTTCCATAAAATTGACACCAATTCCATTTGATTTGTCTCAATTAAATTTAATTTGACATACATTTTACCTTAAATAGTGATTCTGTCATCCGTATAAAGGCCAATAGTTCTTTGAGAATTCACCACCATTGTTCCACAATTTTTATTCAATTTTTCGTCTCCATTATTTTACACACTTTGTTCAAGTTTCTTCCTACTTTTCCTTCTCCTAAATCTACCCATATGAATGCTTGATATATATATTTTTTTCTTTTTTCTACATATCCATATTTCATATATTGTCTTCTATTCTTCTCCACCTTTTTTCATTTCTCATTTTGCATTATACTCAACTTTTATTGTCTCAATGTGACAAAGAAATATGTAGATTTATTTCGTCTCAAGTTTGTTTTGTAATTTATCAATTTATTTATAGTCTATACTTTTTATTAATGAATATAGTTACAAATTTCTTTCAAAGAAAAAAATTTAATCATTTTTCTCTTATTGTAGAGGTTTTCTTTTGGTGTACATATTTTATTTTTATTTTCTTTTGAAGGAACCATTCATCTTTCTATTTACAAAATTAATGTAAGTCTCGGATCACAACCTTCATAAATTTTTTATTATCTGACCCACTGCTACAATTTTAAATGAAGAATTTTAGAGAGTATATAAGATTATAGGAAGCAAAGTTATTTACACGATTACACATTGGCCTAGCAATAAGCTACTACATATAATTGCCAATGTTTTAAAAGAAAATTTTACCTCAAAAAAAATTATTTTCCCTAAAATAAATTAAAATTTATATGCCATGATATTATTTTTGTTTTGATCTGAAATACGCCATGATATTATATTTTTGAGAGTAATATGCCATGATATAATTAATAATAGGAAAAAATGCCAAGCTAACTTTGCTTGACAATCAACTTATTAATGAATATTTATTTAATATATTACATAAGGGTAATTTTGGTTTATAAAATTTTGAATGGTTGAATATATCTAACTCCCTCAATCAAGTAAATATTTTTCATCTGGCCAAAAAAAAAAATGAAATAACTTCAATCAAAAAATATATATAAGGCAACATTTGCCGTTTTCTCTCTGTGCATATCTCTCGCACTATTCTTTTTCTCTCTATGGCACGTTTTCCATTTTCCAAAATTAGGCGAGGAGAAATTAAGAATTTGGCTCTATCTTACATGTTATATATATTTGTGGCTTACCATACATAAAATGGTTGATGTTTTCCGTTATTTTGTATAGCCTTTCCTTTTTTTTTTTTTGTCTAAATTATTATTCTATATCTTTTGTTAGTCATTATAGTCAAATAAAAAAAAGTTATTTCTTTCCTTTGAATAATTGATTGGCCGGCCATAATGTATGAACACTATGGATGTCTTGATTTTTTTGCATAAAGGAAGACTAGAAGTGACTGAAAATAATATGCATATATTTAATTTAAATGTACAGTTTGAATGGAGTTAATTTAATGGAATAATTAATGAAAGTATAAATTAAAAATTAGAGATTTTGGATAATACTATTGCTACACCAAATTATCCAAAGTAGCACACTGATAATCATTATAATACATTATCACAATAAATATCCAGACTTTTAATACTTATAAAGTTTGTTTTCATGAAAAGTAATGGCTAAATCTATGCCACGTCATGTGGGAAAAAAATGATAAGAAGCTTTGATGGTGTAAAAGATATTTTTGTATCAATCGGCAATTTGGCCAAAAAACAAAATCAATTGGCCATTAAATTTCTTTGTATAGATGAAAAACTAAAGCAACAATTATATTGGAATGAAGTGCTATAAATTTAGAAATTTAAGAAAATAGGAAATAAAAATCAACATGGAAAATTTTCCATATTTATTTCACGTTTCGTATAATATAAGTTAAAAGGCCTAATATCCAATTTGGGTCTAAACGTTTGCCAACTTGCTCAATTTGAGTCTAAACCTTTAAACCGTAACAAATTGGGCCTAAACGTTTCCAATACCAACCAATTTAGGCCTAAATCTAACAGAAATTTTGGTTTGAAAAACACGCGCCGTTAGTGTTACTAACGACGTGACGTGACAGCGCCACAGTGGAAAATATTTTTTTAATTTATTTAATTGGGAAAAAATTATTATTAATTAATTCCTAAAATCGTTTTAAAAACCTAACCCATTATTTAATTTCATTATTTTCTGAATGAAAAAAAAAGCTGCTTCTTTTTCTTGTTTGCGTTCTTCTCCTCTCGTCTTCTTCTCCCTTCATCTTCTCTTTTCTTCTTTGATTTAGGGAAATTCATGTTGTCCTTTTAATGAGCATATGTCACGTTGTATGGGTTCTTCAACTGGGCCATCAATTGGAAGGTTTTGGGTTAATTTCTTTTCTTTTTTTTTTTCCTGATTTGAACCCCAACTTCTCCTAAATCTGGCTTTGTATACTGTTGAGGAATCCTCTAGCCCCACGGTGGAGCGTGAGCTCAAGCTTTGGTGGCAACGCTATGATTGGTATTGTAGGGAGATTTCCTTTCGCGTGCCACCAGCAGCTGGCTCTGGGTGATGCTGGTCGGATGGGTGGGGTGCGCGACCTATTGTGTTATTTTGATGAAGAGCTGAGGTTGGTAGGTCAGATTTACCCAGTTCGGTTTGAGCTGGTCGGAGTAGAGTTGAGTATGGATTTGGAGGTGGGGTTCAAAGTGAATCAAACTCTTCCTTTAGCTATGGTTTATCTTTCCATGTAAATATTTTAGGAATAGTGATCGCTATTTTTACAACTGTGACTGTGAGGAACATAAATTATTTCTCTTGGTTGTTTTTGCTATAGCCTCTCATTCAAAGTTCAAAGTTTAAACTAATCTTCTGTTTCAATGAAACTATCAAATCTCTCTAATGTTTATATTTGCTAATTTGCTCTGTTTTAATTCATCTTCCTTTCAACGAACTATGGCTTGGTAATTATATATTATATTGTTATTATAATTATAATATTATTAATCTGAGATAAAATCTATAGAACCCATGAACCCAACCCTTCTTTTTTTTCTTTTTTTTTCTATCTTCCCATCTGGCCAAAAAAATTCCATCTGTACGCGTTTTCTATCAATAAAGCGTGTTTACGGCGCGTGATTTTCAAACACAAATTTCTGTTAGACTTAGGCCCAAATTGGTTGGTTTTAGTAACATTTAGGCTTAATTTGTTACAGTTTAAAGATTTAGACTCAAATTGAGCAAGTTGGCAAACGTTTAGGCTCAAATTGGATATTTGGCCTAAGTTAAAAGATGAAGTTAAGAGTAGTTTGATTTAAAATAATATAATATTACCACCTCCATGATTGGTTATCAAAGATTTCTATTTAGATCTTCTAAAAAGGTATAGGGGAAATATGCCATCTTATAAAAACTTTAATAAGTTTGAAAAAAATTTTGAGTGAAAGTTACAAATAAGTTTTTTTTGGCACAAAAACTTTATAAGTTCACTATAAGAAAAATTATACAATACATCGTCAGTGGAGTTTAGCAGACTGCACGTGCAGGGTTTAAGAGTTGACATGTGTCCCCTTAGGGAATATGTATTAATATTAAATATTTAATTAATTTTGAAATATGGTATGTGTCACCAGCTTATGGAGTCCAAAATTTGCACTGACAGTGTATTGTATAATAATCCTATAAAAAAAAATTATACAATACACCTTCAGTGGAGTTTAGGAAATTGCAAATCTGGGGTTTAAGGGTTGACATGTGTACCCTTAGGGAATATGTATTAATATTAAATATTTAATTAATTATGAAATAGAGTATGTGTCAACTTCTTAACCCGCTTATGGAATCCAAAATTTATACTGACAGTGTATTTTATAATAATTCTATAAGAAAAATTATACAATACACCGTCAGTGGAGTTTAGCAGACTGCACGTGCGGGGTTTAAGG